AATAATATAACATTTCGTAAAGTAGAAAGGTGATAACTGATCCAGCAGACGTGAAAGGGCAACAGTGGGAAAAACCAAGAAGAAATCTGCTTTATCCTGCAAAGCCTCAAGAATTGGCAGCAAGTCTCCTCCAGAACTGGGGGCAAATGTGGAGCTAAGGTGGGAAGAGCCACTGGAGCCCCAGAGGGTCTCCTTGACAACAAGCAGCCAAACAACTGTTCTTCCTTTAGCTGACAGAAGAGAGAAGTTTCTTTTTCTGAGATGGGAGTCCCTGAACCAAAGATCCCAGTCACATTGAAGGTGGAGGTACTAAGCTGATCATGGGGGATTGAGTAAAATTGAAGTACTGAGCATGAGACATCATCCTTCACCCCTGGTACCCATGGGTGTGTTTCTTCCCTTTGGTAGAGAATGACTTCTTCTCTGAGGGCATCCGACCAACCTAAGAGAAGAGACCCAAAGATATTGATGTTCTGGGCTCCCCAGGAAGCAATCTGGCCATATCACTCTGTTGAGAAGCCCAGTCAACAAGCAGAGCTATTCCAAATAGCATTAGTGCCTCACTTTAAGTAAGAGCAGTGTATAGATCCCCAGACATCTGATGAAGGCTAATGAAAAATACAAAGACTAAAACAAATGAATAGAAGAAAAGCCACTTGCAGGAAACAGAGACTATAGGGGGAGAAAAAACTAAAACAAAATCAGCTATCAAGACTCTCAATAAGAAGAGATGCTGCATTTATGTAAAAGGAACAGGTTGTAATTTTTAAAAAGGGCTTGCAGGAGAAAGCTCCTTTTTAATCTCCAAGAGTTCAAAAGAACTCTTGGAGATTAAAAATATGTTAGCGGAAATGAAAGAGTCAAAAGGGCTGAAAGATAAAGATGAGGGTATCTCCTAGAAAGTAGAGTGAAGAAAAAGCCAACAAGATAGAAAGGAAGAGAAAATATAAAACTCAAGGACCAATCAAGGAGGCCCAATATCCAAATAGTTGGAGTTTTAGACAGAAAAAATAGAAGGAAGGGAATCATCACAAAGTATTTCAGGAACATTTGCCAGGACTGATGGATATCAGTTGCCAACTGGAAGGGACCACCAAACGCAATGGATATAAGCAGACCCACACCAAGGCACAGTTTTGTAAAATTTCTGAACATCAGGGACACAGAGACCCCACAAGCTTCTAGAGAAGAGGTAAAAAAGTTTTATACAGAAGAAGAAGAAACCACATGGCAATAAAGTTTATCAGCAACACTGAGTATTACAAAACAATGGAGCAAGATCTTCAAGTTCTGAAGGAATATTATTTCCAACCTAGAATTTTATACCAAGCCAAACAATTAAGTGTGAAGGTGGAATAAAGACATTTTTAGACCTACAAGATCTAAAAAAATTGACCCCCATATATACTTTCTCAAGAAGCACCTGAAGGCTGTAATCCACCTAAAAAGAAAGTAAACATTTAAAAAAAAAAAGAAAGAAAAGATGGATCCAGGAAGCCCAGGATCTAGTCCAAGGGAGAAGCAAAGGGAATCCCACGATGACAGTGAAAGAGATCCAGGACCACATCTGGGCACCAGGCGTCTAGAGCAGCCCCTTTAGATTAGAGCATTGAAAAGACTCTGGAGAGAGTTCTTCAGAAGTTGAGGAAGTACCTAATGTTTTCAAATTTATTGAAAGGCAATTTATTCAAGTGGGAGAGAGTTTGGGTATCAAGTTACTGATAAGTACACAGAAACTAAGGAAATGATTAAAATGACAATAATTCACTCCAGGGAACACAAAATTGTATGCAGAAAGGAAAAATAATTATAGTATGCAATATAGTCTGACTACCTAAACACTGTTAATATTATTACATAGTCACGATTACACAAACACAGAATGAAGATCTAGCTGAAAATATGACGCTATCAGGAAGATGGGGAAATGGGAATGGGAATTGTGTGGTGTGAGTGTTCGCTAGTCTGTGCTGTGTTGTGGGGGTGTGGCGTGTGGAGGGGGTGTGGGGTAAGGAGGGGAAATCCACATCTTCCTGAGTAGGAAGCCTGAAACTGAAAGATCCATAGGCAGCAATGGAACAGAGCGTGTTTTATTGTGGTTATCCCAGGCTCCTCCCCTGGGGTAACCACAGTCACGGATTTGTCATATTTCTCTCCAGACCTTTTTCCTCTTCATCTGCATACATAAGTCTGTACATATAAATAGCTGTTTTGTTTCACAGATACTCAGGAGGCTAAATCAGGAGAATGGCTTGAACCTGGGAGGTTGAGGCCACAGTGAGCCATGATCAAGCCACCGCACTCCAGCCTGGGTGACAGGGTGGGACTTTGTCCCCCAGAATAATAATAATAATAATAAAGGCTGAGAATCTCTGCTTTAAAGTATGTGCATGCATGGCTTTGGTAAGATGGAAATGAGGGAAGAGCAGGTGGGGAGACTGCTGCATTGTGTGGCTGGGCCTTGGTAAAGGTAAGCTGGGACTGCAGAAGCAGAGGGGCTCCTAACACAGCTTTGGGGTAGGGAGGTGTCCTGGAGGTAACAATGAAGGTGAGTTTTGAAAGACAGTAGAAATGAGCTGGATGTGGGGCTAGGTGATTGAAAAGCTGACTATTTTCTAAATCGAATTATATTTTAAGTTAGCAGCATTAGAATATATACTTCAGCTCTAGACATGGCATCTCTCTAATTAAAGCACTATTGGATATGATGTCAAAATTTACATGGGAAATAGTAAGAACTACAGCAGGTAATTAACAGATATGACAGCCATAGAACATTTTCCTAATTGTGCTTCTAATTTGACACCGAGCTTCCCTGCAGCCAGTTCAAAAGGAGCGATTCCATCAATTATATGGTTCCTGTTATGAGGAAGAAGGAAGTTTAGCAGGCCTCTTTGGAAACAGAGCTTTCTCAGCTAGAACTGAACTCCTTCACTGGCGCTGATGGGTGATATTGCCAACACCCTTGAATTGCAAAGTTAGCACCACTTTGCACAGGTGCCTTCCTAATCTGATGCTTTTTTTTTTTTTTTTTTTCTCTTAACAAAAGAATGAATGAAATTCAAAAGAAACTCTGTAGAAGTTGATCCCCAGGCATCTGTGGTATAGAACTTTCTAGGGATAACATTAAAAAGTGAAATGACTCTTTTATAAACCAAGCTGGTAATCTATTCTAAAGAGTTGAAAAGGTATCCCTATTCTTTTTTCTTTCTTTCTTTCTTTTTTTTTTCTTTTCTTTCTTTCTTTTTTTTTTCTTAGACAGAGTCTTGCTCTATTGCCCAGGCTGGAGTGAAATGGCGTGATCCCGGCTCACTGCAACCTCCGCCTCCTGGGTTCAAGTGATTCTCCTGCCTCAGCCTCCTAGTAGCTGGGATTACAGGCGCCCGCCACCATGCCTGGCTAATTTTTGTATTTTAGTAGAGACGAGGTTTCACCATGTTGGCCAGACTGGTCTGCAACTCCTGACCTCAAGCAATCCACCTGCCTCAGCCTCTCAAAGTGCTGGGATTACAGGTGTGAGCCACCATGCCTGGCACTATTCATTTATTTCTAATGGCAAAATTATAGAAATCACCTAAATGACCAGTAATCTGGCAGTTTTCCAAATGATACAAGAAATAGGTAAATATGTTCTTGTTAGAAATTTAAATATTATAGGCAAAGCTAAAATCCTCCTTGACGACCCAGTCTGTCTTCACTCCCAGGTTCCCCCTCTGGGGTAACCACAGTCACAGATTTGTCATATTTCTCTCCAGATGTTTTTTCTCTTCACCTGCATACATAAGTCTGTACACATAAATAGCTATTTTTGTTTCACAGAGAGATTTTACCATCTGCATTGTATCATATTCTACATATTATCTACAACTTGCTGTTTTGCTCAATATTATATTTAGGTTTTCAAACCTCCCTCTTTTTTTTTTTTTTTTTTTTTTTTTTTTTTGAGACGGAGTCTTACTCTGTCACCAGGCTGGAGTGCAGTGGCGTAATCCCGGCTCACAGCAACCTCCGCGTCCTGGGTTCAAGTGATTCTCCTGTCTCAGCCTCCCAAGTAGCTGGGATTACAGGCACATGCCACCACACCTGGCTAATTTTTGTATTTTTAGTAGAGATGGGGTTTCAACATGTTACCCAGGCTGATCTTGAACTCCTGACCTCAGGTGATCCGCCCGCCTCAGCCTCCCAAAGTACTAGGATTACAACTGTGAACCACTGTGCCCTGCCTCCCTCATTCTTTTTAACAGCTGCGTAATATTCCATTTGTGAATGTCCCCATAGTTTATCTATTCCAGTATAAGGTGGTCTCTAGTTTTCTACAATCACAGTGCTGCAGTTAAACGTGGGCACACATGGCCATGTCACACTGTTTGGTTCCCAGAAGGGACAAGAGTTCATTCTTTTACTAATTGCCATGTTTCTGTAACAGGCTGTTCCAGGCTCCCACCGGCCGGGTACAAAAGGGCCTGTTTCCTGTAGCCTCCCCGGCTTTCAGTATTGCCAGACAGCTACCTTTCCCCCAGATCTGAGGAGTGGGATACAGTAACACTTCGTTTTAACTTGCATTTTCTGATTGCAACTGACATTAAGAACTTTCTGTATTTTAAATATTTGGTCATTTATGTCTCCTTTTCCGAGAGCTGCTTGATCCTTCTATATTGCAAACACTCTCTCGCATTGTGTGCCTTGTCCTTTAACCTTATTTGTAGTACCTATCATCAGACGGATATTTTAATCTTTTGTTCACTTTTATAGTTTGTGTTTATTCCACATTTATGATGATTTTCTCTTTGTTTTTATTGCAGTGAAGTCCATTATTTTTCTTTTTAATTTTATTTTATAGTTATTATAATGTTGCTTTAATAATATGTTTTTCCAGCATTATCCATCCATGATCTGATATGCCATTTTCTTCCTCAGGAGAGGTTTTCTACCAATTTTAGCCGTTTCCCGTGGTTGCTGCTGATCCATGCTTCATACGTGTTTTCTGTTTGTGGTTTCAGATAAAATCTACGTGGTTGACTTGAGTAATGAGCGAGCCACGTCCCTTACCATCGAGCCACGGCCCGTCAAACAGAGCCGCAAGTTTGTCCCTGGCTGTTTCGTGTGTCTAGAATCTCGGACCTGCAGCACCAACCTCACCCTGACATCTGGCTCCAAACACAAAATCTCCTTCCTTTGTGATAATCTGACACGTCTGTGGATGAATGTGGAAAAAAACATAAGTACGCCCCTGAATTAGTGCATTTGTCCTGGGCTGTGAACAGCTCTTCTCTCCCTGCCTTGCCTTAGTGGGGTTCCCTCGGTACATTGTAAATCATATGATCAAAAAGGCCCATCTGGCCGGGCACGATGGCTCACGCCTGTAATCCCAGCACTTTGGGAGGCTGAGGCTGGTGGATGACTTGAGGTCAGGAGTTCAAGACCAGCTGGCCAACATGGTGAAACCCCTTCTCTACTAAAAATACAAAAATTAGCTGGACGTAGTGGCAGGCGCCTGTAATCGCAGCTGCTCAGGAGGCTGAAGCAGGAGAATCGCCTGAACCTGGGAGGCAGAGGTTGCAGTGAGCCGAGATTGCACCATTGCACTCTAGCATGGGCAACAGAGTAAGACTCAAAAAAAAAAAAAAAAAAAAAAACCCACCCACAGTGCAAGTGAGCAAGGGTGACCAAGAGGCAAGCAGAGTGTCAACACATCCCTTTGGGACCAGCCTCAGGTGGAGCCTGCAGCCCTCAGAAGTGTGTCACACTGCCCCATTTTCAGGCTTATGTCTCTCTGCCCAGCCTTCCAATCTTCCTCTTGTGAGAGCCTCTCCTCTTTTGCTCAGATTTCCAGCCTGTCCCATCCCCATCCCCCCACACCCCACACCCCCACTTCCATACTCACTGCCCTCTTGTCTTCTCTCACACAAGACTGCGATTCCTGATGTCAAGAACTTTGGCTCGTTCTGTTTTTCATCCAGGTAGTCCCTACCGGTGCTAGACATGCACTAGTCATTTAAAAAATGTTTGATCGGCCAGGCTCAGTGGCTCACGCCTGTAATCCCAGCACTTTGGGAGGCCAAGGCAGGCAGATAACCTGAGGTCAGGAGTTCCAGACCAGCCTACCCAACATGGCGAAACCCCATCTCTACTAAAAATACAAAAAATTAGCCGGGCATGGTGACGGGTGCCTGTAATCCCAGCTACTCGGGAGGCTGAGGCAGGAGAGTCGCTTGAACCTGGGAGATGGAGATTGCAGTGAGCCAAGATTGCACAACTTCACTCCAGCCTGGGCAACAGAGCGAGACTCCGTCTCAAAAAAAAAATGTTTGATGACTGAAGGCCAGTAAACCAACAGCCACCTCCCTGCTGGGCTACCGTGACTTCTGATGTGTGCTCTTAGCATCTCTACAAATGCAGGAACTAAGGCCACAAGAGGCAAAGTAACCTGCCCGAGAACACCCTGTTAGGAAGTGGCAGAGTCAGAAGACGAACTGACATCTCCCCAACACCACTCACAGCTCCAACCACTGCCCAGAACTGCCTCCTGGGCAACATGTCTGGGTGGAGTGAAACCTGTGCCCCGCCCCATGACACTTAGCATCTAAGACACAAATACACAGAAGAAAGAACTTAAGCAAAAAAGGAGAGGAAATTTCGACCCTGAGTACTACCCAGAAGTTTGTTTGCCAGCTTAGTAAACAGTAAGAATGTGAGAGAGCAGAGGGACCGCTAGAAAAGGTACACAGAGGAGCCAGAAGTGGAGGGCAAGGTGGGAAAAGAGAGATGGAAGGGAAACGCAGGGCAGCATGCAGACCCCCAACCTCGGGCTGACGGGAGAGCTGGGGAGGGTGCACTTGTGGTCTCCTGTGTCCATGGCTAGCATGCCCCACTTCTTCCAGGCTGCACAGACCACCGGTACTGCCAAAGGAAGTCCTACTCACTCCAGGTGCCCAGTGACATCCTCCACCTGCCTGTGGAGCTGCATGACTTCTCCTGGAAGTTGCTGGTGCCCAAAGACAGGCTCAGCCTGGTGCTGGTGCCAGCCCAGAAGCTGCAGCAGCATACGCATGAGAAGCCCTGCAACACCAGCTTCAGCTACCTCGTGGCCAGTGCCATACCCAGCCAGGACCTGTACTTCGGCTCTTTCTGCCCGGGAGGCTCTATCGAGCAGATCCAGGTGAAGCAGAACATCTCGGTGACCCTTCGCACCTTTGCCCCCAGCTTCCGACAAGAGGCCTCCAGGCAGGGCCTGACAGTGTCCTTTATACCTTATTTCAAAGGTAAGGGGGGTCTCCCCCATCTCCATGCCCCCTTAGTTTAAGTGTTCGTTTTATTTTAGTTTTGTGATCACCTTAATTAAGTTACGAGTTTGGAGAGAAGGAATAGCTCAGTATGCTGGTCCTTGCACAAGAAATTTGAAAGATAGTGAGTCCTAATCCTGACTTTACCATTAACCTAGCATGGAAAATTCCTGAGATTAGAAATAAAAAATGTTTCTGACAGTGGGAGGCGATGGTTGGTAGGCAGCAAAACACATAATCAGGTTTGAGTCTTTTTTGGAAGCAGGCAGGACGTAAATGAGAAATAGCCAAATATTCCCCAGTCCCGGATTTTTAAGGTAGTGACATAAAAATCCTTAGGCAGACATTTTTATGACTCTGCGTTTACAATTCAGAATGCAGTGCAGAGAGCCCAGAAGGAGGAGCGTTGGGAGGGAGGTGAGTGTCCGGAGCCAGAGTCCAGCAGCACGGCTGGGCAGACGCGACCCTCCTGGGAGGCTGGCATGTGGTCTCCATGTTCTGAGGCAATAAATGAGGTCCAAATGGCTCACAACGTGACTTCTACATGGTTGACTTTAAAAGTCACAGTCACCATTACGAGTTGCTCCAAGCGCATTAAGTTAGAGGCCATTTTAAAATTGACCAAGACCTTCGTTTGATGTTTATTTCATACTCTTATTCTCCGAGGTGTGAGTGGGAGGGAGAAGAATCTTTGGTCATAAGGTCAAAGTGGGTCCAAGCTGCCTGATATCTCCAAGGTTACCAGAGAAACTCCTTCCAAGGAGTCTTTGCAAATAAGACACATTCTCATCAGTGTGGAATGTGTGGGTTTTATCTCTCCTGAAGGTAAGGAAGGGATTAGTTGACATGTCAGGAGCTCTTTCAGCTTTGCAGTTCCAGAACTCTTCCCAGAACCTGAAGATATTTTAATCTCTGAAACAGAAATCAGTCTATACCAGCCCCACCCTGGAGCAGGGCAGTAGATGAACGTAGTAGCTACGTTGAGAGCATTTCTGAAGGGAAGCTGAGATAACCACCAGTCTGGGAAACTAGCCTGGTTTTTGTTTGCCTGTTTTGTTTTTTTCAAAAGTCCTGAGTACTTACTCTGACTGAGACTGATCCAGCACTGACCAATACAGTGGTGCTAGCCACATGTAACTATTTGAATTTAAATTAATATGAGGCTGGGCACAGTGGCTCATGCCTGTAATCCCAGCTCTTTGGGAGGCCAAGGCAGGCAGATCACTTGAGCTCAGGAGTTCAAGACCAGCCTGGCCAACATGGTGAAACCCCATCTCTACTAAAAGTACATAAAATTAGCCGGGCATGGTGACTCATGCCTGTAGTCTTAGCTACTCAGGAGGCTGAGGCTGGAGAACTGCTTGAACCTGAGAGGTGGAGGTTGCAGTGAGCTGAGATTGTGCCACTGCACTCTAGCCTGGGCAACAGAGTGAGACTCCATCTCAAAAATAACTAATAATAATACATTAACATGAAACAAATTTAAAATGCAGTTCTTTGGTCATGCCGGGCACATCTCAAGGCTCAGCAGACATGTAGCTGGTGGCTACCCTATCAGACGGTGCAGATCCAGAAAATTTCCATCATCGTAGAAAGTTGTTAGACAGCACCAGTCTGGTCAGTTGGACTTCATCTCCCCCACCGCTCCCTTTCCTCTCCATGTTGACTGAATGAAACATCTGTCTGGATCTCCCTCCCTTTCCTGCAGAGGAAGGCGTTTTCACGGTGACCCCCGACACAAAAAGCAAGGTCTATCTGAGGACCCCCAACTGGGACCGGGGCCTGCCATCCCTCACCTCAGTGTCCTGGAACATCAGCGTGCCCAGAGACCAGGTGGCCTGCCTGACTTTCTTTAAGGAGCGGACTGGCGTGGTGTGCCAGACAGGGCGTGCATTCATGATCATCCAGGAGCAGCGGACCCGGGCTGAGGAGATCTTCAGCCTGGACGAGGATGCGCTCCCCAAGCCGAGATTCCACCATCACAGCTTCTGGGTCAACATTTCTAACTGCAGCCCCGCGAGCGGCAAGCAGCTAGACCTGCTCTTCTGGGTGACACTTACCCCAAGGACTATGGGTAAGGGCCTTCAGGGTCTTTGGGGATAGTGATAAACAGGAAATTGTCAGCTGGAGGATAGGGAGCAAGCCTGGAGACAAGTCAGAAACACAGATTGAGTCCTGGCTGTCCATGTATCAGTCAGCTATTGCATCAATAGTGCTGAGTAACAAACCACACCAGAACATAGTGGCTTCATAGCAGCCATCTGTTATTGCTCCAACGTTATCTGGGCCCAGTTTTGGTCTGAGCTGGACTTATCTGGGCTCTGTCATTCATGCACCTGCTGGCAGCTGCAGGTTGGCTAGAGGACTTTGCTGATCTTAGCTTGGTGCTTTCAAAAAGCTGAGGCTCAGCTAAGATCATCTGAGACAACTGAGATTACTTGGCTTGACACTACATGGTCTCTTATCCTTCAGCCTGGGCTGTTTTCGTGGCAGAGGCAGAGAGATCCACAAGAGACTGGAGGAGGCATATAAGGTCTTTTGATACTCTAAAGGAACTCACGCCATCCCTTCAACTGCATTCTTTTGGCCAGCCTAGATTTTTTTTAGTCAGTCTGCCAGCATCCTTTACCATTCATCTCTCTTTTGCATAGGGGAAGTCTCTCCACACCTGTGGTCTTCCTCATCCACAGAGAGTAGATAATAGCCACCTCATAAAAGTACCATGGGATTCAGTGTCATGAATTAAAATATGGGGACCTGAAAAGTCTGACAGGTACATGATTTTTTATTGAGTCTCAGTGAAACGTTGGAATCCATGAAATACCCTCCATGGGAGGCCTTGAAGCCAGGATGATGAGTTTGCCTTTGTTCCTCAAAGTCGTGGGCACCACTGAAGGGTATCAAGCAACGGAATGCAGGTGTGGCAAGACAGGCTGTGGTGAGGCCGTGTCTGCCCTTTACTCGGTGAAGGCACAGAGCATCACAGTGTCAGAACCAGAAGGGACCGTGGAGGCTGCTTTTTTCCCTTTCCCTTTCTGGGGGTCAGTGTGATTGAGGATCCATCCAAGCCGCACAACTGGTTAGCCTCAAAAGAACTGGTGGGAGCCAAATGCCACAAGTGAAAACCTCTCCACACTCATAGGTTACCTCCTGGGTTTTTTTCGTCTCTTAGATTCACTTTCTGTCATTTCTTTCCATTCCTCTTTCCTTTGGATCTCACCCTTTGCTTTCTTGGTGAACAAGTAAGATATTCTAAATCTCTGTTTGGTACAGGGTTCCCCCTCTGATTTATTTTCTTTTTCGTTTGTGAAGCTGCAGGAAAAGGACAGCACAAAGGAAACAACCCTCCCTTTAGCTGCCTCACTTCTGACTTTTGACTCCCTGCTTTCTCCTATCCTCCTCTGCTCTTCTCTTCTCCAAGACAGACTGTGGCAATCGGTGGAACACACCTGGTGTAGGCCAGGAGTAGCCTTTGGAGTCGATCTGGTAGGTCCCTCAGTTTGTTTCAGTTGTTCATTGCTATAAACGAACTACCGCAAAATGTGGTGGCTTAGGCAATAGCCATTTTGTTTACCCACAATTTGTGGATCAGGAATTCAGACAGGGCATAGCAGTGTGTCTTATCTGTGCTCCAGGGTATCTGGGGCCCCAACCAGAAGCCTTGAACACATAGAGAGGATGGCTTGGAGAATTACTGGAGACATATGTCTAGGGCCTTTGGTTCTCACTAGATTGGTTTTTTTCCCCAGTGGGGTCTGTACATGGCTAGCTTGGGCTTCCTCACAGCATGGTGGTCTCAGCATCGTCAGACTTCTTACATAATGGCTGGCTGTCTCTCAGAGAGAAAGTGCAAGCTGTCATCCTCTTAAAAGTTAGGCCCAGAACTGGCACAGTTGCCTTCTATTGGCTGACCCAGATCCAAAAGGACAGGAAATAAGCACTTCGTGATGTGAGGCACCCCAAATGCACACAAGGAGCCACATGTGTGGCGTTCCACCTTCGGAAAGATGACAACTGCTTTTGGAGATGCCTCAAATTCGTTGTAGAGCTAACCCCAGCTGCCTCTTCATCTGTCTGTTCATGTCTCTGCTCACAGACTTGACTGTCATCCTCATCACAGTGGTGGGAGGTGGAGCCTTACTGCTGTCTGCCCTCGGACTCATCATTTGCTGTGTGAAAAAGAAGTAGGTGGAATCTCTTACTCTCTTTATCTGATTTGACGCCTCCTCAGATCACACAGACTGGGTGGATTGTTAATTATTGACTTTGTTTTCTTGCTTCCCGTTTTTTCCCCCAAAGATCAGTGTTAAACAGTATTGCCAGATGTGAGTCATGCTTTCAGGAGAAAAAAAAAATCCCATGCCTGGGATTTTTATCCATGCCTGGGGGTGAGGCGGGGATAAAAATCACATGTGACATTTTCACCTGTAGTTCATGGTGCAGCTGCCTCAGCACAAGTCCCCTGCGAGCAGTGTGCTGTTTGCTTAGCAGATTGATCAAGCAGGGGTGATCTTGGCAAGAAAATGCTCACTAGCCTCTGCCAGACTGTGCCTCTTAAACCACTCCCTCCGTCACCTTAAGGAGAATGAATGTGTGTTGTCCCAGCTTGTTCTCCTGCAGTTTCTTAAGCAAACTGCTTTATCCTTGTCTATTGGGCTCCAGGTATATTACAGACGGCAGGCCTGTGGCCAAGAGGAAGGAAGGCCCAGTTAACTGCCTCAGTCTCTCTTTCCATCCCCTCAGGAGGACAACTTCTGTTTTATTTATTATATTTTATTTTATATATATATAATTTATTATAAGCTCTGTTGCCAGTGGTGTGATCTCATTTCACTGCAGCCTCCACCTCCTGGGTTCAAATGATTCTCCTTCCTCAGCCTTCCAAGTAGCTGGGACTATAGGCACACACCACCACGCCCAGCTAATTTTTTTGTATTTTTTGTAGAGACAGGATTTCACCTTGTTGGCCAGGTTGGTCTTGAACTCCTGACCTCAAGTGATCCACCCACCTTGGCCTCCCAAAGTGCTGGGATTACAGGCATGAGCCACTGCACCAGGCCAAGCTTCTATTTTATAAAAGGAAAATGTTGACCTTTTTAAACAGAGTCCATGGTGCCACCAAACTGTATAAATTCTGCTCATATTTCTGACTAAAGTCATGAGAGAGAGAGCTATTTTCCTTAGCATGATTTCACTTTCCAAAAAGCCAACGTCAAAAAATTCTTTTTTTTTTTCTTTTTTTTTTTTTAAGACAGAGTCTTACTCTGTCACCAGGCTGGAGTGCAGTGGCACGATCTCAGCTCACTGCAACCTCCACCTCCTGGGTTCAAGCGATTCCCCTGCCTCAGCCTCCTGAGTAGCTAGGACTACAGGCACCTGCCACCTCGCCCAGCTAATTTTTGTTTGTGTGTGTGTGTGTGTATTTTTAGTAGAGACGGGGTTTCATCATGTTGACGAGGATGGTCTCAATCTCTTGACCTTGTGATCCGCCCACCTCAGCCTCCCAAAGTGCTGGGATTAAGGTGTGAGCCACCATGCCCAGCCAAAAAATTCTTTTTCAAAAATTAACTGTGGACCTGAGCAGACAACTGAAATTCCTGGTCTACAATAAGAGTGTCTACAAATGTCTCTGCTGATGAGGAAGGACTGGCTTGCAGGAGTCTTTTCTCCGTGAGAAGTGGCTGTACCTATAACACATGGGGAAAAAGGACTGCTTTTAAGGAAGCATCATGTTACTGTTTCTCTCAGGGAATTTTCCCATCTGGGGTGCATGGAATAGCCCACCCAGCTGGGGAAGCGTGGCATTAACACTGGGCCCCAGCTTCCTTATCAGGAGGGAATTGGACAAGGAAAGAGATCCAGCACTTGCCTCATCTTGAAATAGCTCCAGTTTAAGCCTGAGAATCATCAGCCCAGCCTTGCTACAGGCCTTGCTTGTGTGAGGCTGCTGGCTGGCAGGTTTGCATAAGGCCCAAGCTGGGGTAGGAGGACGGACAGGTTGTACAGTGAGAATGAGGAGAGACAATGCTATCCAACTTGTTCTCTAAGCAGGTACTTCCTAAGTGTCTCCTGGGCACTAGGATTCATTGAGGTACTGGGGACAGTGATGAGCAAGACAATCTCATCTATGGGGCTGGGGGGACTGAAGAGACAGGCAAATAAACAGTCGGTTTCAGGATAGCATGAGAAGAGTTTTAGTGGGGACAAACATTAGCTTCAGGCAGGAGCCTTAGGAACCCGTCATCCTGGCCAGGGGCTCAGTGTTACAAGCTAAAGGTACCAGGTTTATTTTTATCTCAGCAAACTACAGAGAGCCTGTCCACAACCATGAACTGCCAGCCTGTGCCTTATATGGTCCATTACGCTAATTGAGCTAATCTCCTCCATTTGCATCACTGGTCAGCTAAAAAGTCAGCATTCCTTGCTGTTTGGTTCATGAAGATGGGGAGCAAAGCTTTGTTTTCTGTGGCAGCAAGCACTAATGCCCGTGCAGGTCCAAGTACCAAAGAACATTAAAATCCAAATGCTAATGGTGTTATTGAAGAACTCTGGCATTGCAGCCTGAATTTTGTCTTCTTTTAGCTCTTTCCTTTGTTGGGGGTGACTGCTGAGGCACTGGGTCTCTCTGCTAATGCTGAGTTTTCCTCTCCCCAACTCATGCTGAAAACTAAGATACAACCTGGACTCCTGAGTCTCTTGTGTCACCATTTAGAATCTAGATGGTCAGAGCTTTTCCCAGGCAAAACAGAGAGAAAGCATGAGCTATGGGAAAGTGCTAAGATTGTGGGAAAGTTGACCTGGGCATGACTGAGCCTGATGTGGTTGAGATGGGCTGGGACACTGCCTATTTCTGGTAGAAAGGAGGGGAAAGGGATTGTCAGATGTTTCCACCATTGGATACCACATATCTTATCAAAAACGAATTGAGCACAGATAGTGTTAGAGGTGCCCTCTCTCAACCACTCTTCTGCCACCTGTGATCTCTGTTTCCACTTGGAAAACTGGAGACAAAATCAGGTCCCTTCTAAATGTTCACTGAGGACAGAGTTTCAGTTTCAAGTGCTGAGCAATTTGAGGGATTTGGGGAAGACATGGTCAGAACCCTAAAGAATCCAAGCTCTAGCAGGGCCATAGCAATGGTACCCATCTAAGATTCTTTCCTTTCTGACTTCTGTCTTGTTCCTTTTCCAAATAGGAAAAAGAAGACAAACAAGGGCCCCGCCGTGGGTGTCTATAATGGCAACATCAATACCGAGATGCCAAGACAGCCAAAAAAGTTTCAGAAAGGGCGAAAGGACAATGATTCCCACGTATATGCGGTCATCGAGGATACCATGGTGTATGGGCATCTGCTACAGGATTCCGGCGGGTCCTTCCTGCAGCCCGAGGTGGACACCTACCGGCCGTTCCAGGGCACCATGGGGGTCTGCCCTCCCTCCCCACCCACCATATGCTCCAGGGCCCCAACTGCAAAGTTGGCCGCTGAAGAGCTGCCTCCTTGCTCCCCTCCTGAGTCCGAGAGTGAACCGTACACCTTCTCCCACCCCAACAACGGGGATGTAAACAGCAAGGACACAGACATTCCCTTGCTGAACACTCAGGAGCCTGTGGAGCCAGCAGAATAATTTGATCCCTTCCAGGGAATTTGCTGAGTTTCATAAAGCAGGGCACTGAGACACCCATCCGTGTTCCTAACCAGAAATCCTAAAGAAGAGGAATTATACAGAAGGAACAGCAGGAGATTTTCCTGGACACCACCAACTTCACATTGCTCAGTGGACTCATTCTAAGCACAAGACACTGAAAATGATGAATTCTCATCTGGATACAGTCATGACAGCTCATGTCCTTCTCAACTCAGGCTGTGTGGTTAGCCAGCCTGTAATGAGAGGAGAGAGGCCTGAGTCACCTAGCATAGGGTTGCAGCAAGCCCTGGATTCAGAGTGTTAAACAGAGGCTTGCCCTCTTCAGGACAACAGTTCCAATTCCAAGGAGCCTACCTGAGATCCCTACTCTCACTGGGGTCCCCAGGATGAAAATGACAATGTGCCTTTTTATTATTATTTATTTGGTGGTCTTGTGCATTTAAGAGATCAAATGTATAACCACCTAGCTTTCTTCACCTGACTTAGTAACAACTCATGCTAACTGGTTTGGATGTCTTCATTGTGACTTCTATCGACCACTAGATAAACGTGTGCCAGTCCCCCGGGAGGTGGGAATAATTTATAATCTGTCCAGCCAGAAAAGGGTGTGTGTGTTTGAGCAGCATTGACACATATCTGCTTTGATAAGAGACTTCCTGATTCTCTAGGTCGGCTTGTGGTTATCCCATTGTGGAAATTCATCTTGAATCCCATTGTCCTGTAGTCCCAGCAATTAGAGAAATTTCCTTAAGTTTCCATGTGCGATTCTCCCAGCTGCAGCAATACTTTGACATTTAAAGAAAAATTTAGAGAATATTCTCGTCCTCTAAAAATGTTTAAATATATACTGGACAGTGGCCCCCTGCATTAGTTGTCTGTTGCCACTGCAACCCATCACTTGGTAACTTAAAAACAACACATTATCTTACAGTCCTGGGGATCAGAATTCTAAAATGGATGTCCTTGAATGAAAATCAAGGTGTCAGCAGAGCTGTGCTCCTTCTGAAGGCTCTAAGGAGAAGCCGGTTCCTTGCCGTTTCCAGCTTCTAGAAACTGGCTGCATTCCCAGGCTCCAGTGGCTGGTCAAGCTTTTCTCACATGTCTTCACTGTGTCATTGACCCTCCCATTTCCCTCTTTGACTTACAAAGCCCACCAGGAAGATCCAGGATAATCTCTCCATCTCAACATCCTTCCTCACACTGGAAGAGCCTTTTACCTTGCAAGACAACATAGCCACAGATGGGGATTAGGACCAGGACATCTTTGGGGTGCTGTTATTCTGCCTACCACACCTTCCTGCCACTGACTCCCACAGGAGAGGCTACAAAATGATCTGGCCCACAGGGATGTTCTGTTTATCTTGCAGAATCTAACACTTAAAATTAAAAAATTCCCATAACAATCCAGATCAGAAGAACCGGCCATTCTGAGGCTCACATTCTCACCCAGCAACAACTGGCTGGAGCTGGGCACCAGCTCTGCCTTTAGATTGGGTGTCTACTTCACCAGGTCACCACAGCCCACACTACTCCTTATCACCTCCCACAATGAGGCTGAGTGTTTGTTTCTACTGATCAGTGCCCCTGCAGGTTGCATTTCTTGTAATGAAAAGGAACCCCTGGCATTAATCTGATCAGGTGAGTAGACCATGAGACCAATGTGTGCTCACATTCCTCTTTTTTCTTTAATTTGAGACAGGGTCTCATTCTGTTGCCTAGGGAGTAGTACAGTGGCACAATCTCAGCTCACTACAACCTCTGCCTCCTGGGCTCAAGTGATTCTCCCACCTCAGCCTCCCAAGTAGCTGGGATCACAGGCGCAAACCACCATGCCCAGCTAATTTTGTAATTTTTGTAGAGACGGGGTTTCACCATGTTGCCCAGGCTGGTCTCAAACTCCTGGGCTCCTGCCTTGGCCTCCCAAAGTGCTGGGATTACAGATGTGAGCCACCACATCCTGCCCCACACCCTCATTTACACCAGTTATCTACCCAGTGCCTGTGGACTTTTGCTTTGCCACCCCTGCTCCAATCTGGAAGGAGAGGGATTGTGCTATAGCTTGTCAGCACAGTCCCAAGTTCAATATTTCTGTGGCAAAAACTTCCTTCAAAAAATAAATGTACTTCATTGTATTCAATGAATTCACCTTGAAAACGCACTGCCTCAACTTGTTCACATGGCGTGAATGAAAGGAGTTTTATAATCTCCTAAATGGTGTGTACTGCAAGACCTCTTGAACACTTTCCAGAGGACAGGATATTTAAATTATGCCCTTGGCGTTGCCTATAGCACCTTTCCCTTCTGAAAGTCTGGTTCCTGCCCGGTGACCCTTGTCCTTGTGAGCCCAGGTGCTGACCCTCCATAAAGGGCCAAAGGAGGGCTGCAGCTTCCTTCCCTCACCAAAGAGTCCTTATTTGAATTCACTGTGTGGAGCCCTGGCCCTCCATTCTTGACTTTCCCCAACCTCCTAGCCCCTTCCAAGCAGGACTAGGTGACCTGCATTCCACCCAAGGTGGGGTTGGCCTTCTTTGGGCTGGCTACTTGTCACCATCACTGACATCACTGTTGCCTGCAAGGACACCACATGGCCATTTTCCTTCAACTGAGGGCTCAAAACTCCTGGACAAGTTGCTGGCTCCTGAGACCAGTATTTTCTGAAGCTGTGCCTCAGTGAAGGGGCCCAGCCTGAGGAACCCTGGCTCTTTTCTTTAAAGCCCAGGCCCTACTTATATAAAAGATTTCAGGGTCACTGGAAACAGTGAAGTGCGTTTGTTGAAGCCTATTGCATGCCGGCCCAGTGCCCATCCGTGTGGTCTGCCATGCCTACATGGAAGGCCAGCACATGCAGGACTGGCCTCCAATGCTGTGGTCATTGCACAGAAGGGAAAGGTCTCAAGGAAGAGTCAGCTGAGACAAGCACAAGCCCACCAGACATGGCCTCGGTAAAGGTTAGAGGACTGGTGTGTGTGGATCTGCAGTGCTTCACTGGAAATAATTTATTCATTGCAGATACTTTTTAGTGATATTTTATTCATTTCCTATGCTTTTTTAAATAAACAAATGTACCAAAAAACAAGTATCAAGCTGTTCAAGTGCTTCGGCTACTTGTCCCCTGGTTCAGTAGAGGCCCCAGTTTCCCAGTTGTTGACTGTGACAGGCTCAGCGTGGGCTCAGCAGATGCTGTCTTCATTTGTGGATGGTGGGGAAAGTTGGGCTTTGGGAAACAGGCTCTTTCCTCTTCATGTGATGCCGCTCTGTGTGTGAAGCAGATGTTTTTGTCTGGAAATAAAAATAATAGTCTTGGAGTCTTGCCACCACTGATTTTCAAGTCTCCCTGTATGCAAGTGGAAGGAATGGAAGCTATTGCCAATGGGTAGCTGAGAGGCCAGGGCTTGTTCTGTTCTGTTCCTGTGGGGCAACATGGGCCCCACCCTGTGTGACCTTTCCCAATACCTAACCCCCATAGAGGCCCAGGGCTACCCTAATCACTGACCACAGTTGATCTCTAAGCCCCGTGCGGGTCACCAGCCATCAGAACAAAAGTAAAGGGAGGGCAGTGAGAGAGGAAAGTTCCCATGGCTCCCACCATCTGCCATGCACTTGGAGGGGAGACTCAAGCACACCGGATTGAATCCACCGAGAAAGCCAGATACTGTGTAATGAACCACCCCAAAATTTAGTTAAAAATTAGTAGTTTTGCTCACAGATCTATAATTAGAGCAGGGCTCAGCAGGGACTGTATATCTCTGCTCCACGTGGTCTCAGCTTGGGCAGCACAATTAGAATCCTCTTTCAAGTGGGCTCTTTGACACAGCTGACAAGTTAGTGCTGGCTGTTGACTGGGAGCTTTGACTCCTGGTCACTTGGACTACTGCACAGAGCTTCTTCACAACGTGGTGGCTGGGTTCCACGACTGAGCACTCCCAGATTCTAAAGGTCAGAACAGCCAGTCTCTCAGAGGCTGGACCTGGACACCGGCATGACATTACTTCCATTCTATTCCTTTTTTTGTTTTGTTTTGTTTTGTTTGTTTTTTTGTGTTTTTGAGACAGGGTCTCACTCTGTTGACCCAGCTGGAGTGCAGCGGTAAGATCATAGCTCACTGCAACCTTGAACTCCTGGGCTTAAAGCGATCCTCCCACTTCAGCCTCCTGAGTAGCTGGGACTACAGCCATGCACTACCATGCCCAGCTAAACTTCCATTCTATTCTATGGGGGCATTAGTCACAGAACCTACTCAGATTTACATGGAGGAAGCAAAGATTCCCCCTCCCCATCTCAGTGGGAGAGGTGTCAAAGAATTTGCAGCCATCTGTAATAGGCTTCAGGGGGGCTGGGGAGATCAGAGCTGTCCAGGTCATGCCCTTGGACAGCACTGACCACCTTCACCACTGCGTCCCTGATCACCATGACCACATCTGGGCTGCATCCCACCTCTGACTGCCCCTTCTCCTGGATCCTGTTCTCACGACTCAAGGTTCGGTCTTTGGTCTTCTGGTCTTTTCTCTCTGCAAACTGCCCCATAGGGAGGGTACTGTCTTAGTCCATTTATGTTGCTATAAGGGAATACATAAGCATGAGGAATTTAAGAAGAAAAGAGGTTTATTTGGCTCATGGTTCTGCAGTCTGTACAGGAAGCGTGAAACCCAGCATCTGCAACCGATAAGGGCCTCAGGCTACTTCCCCTCATGGCAGAAGACAGAGGGGAGCCTGCACGTGCAGAAATCACATGGCGAGAGAGGAAGCGAGAGAATGGCAGGGGAAGGGGTGGTGCTAGGCTGTTTCCAACAACCAGCTCTTGACAGAACTAAGAGAGGAAGAACTTGCCATGGACCCAGGAAGGGCGTTAATCTATTCTGAATGGCTATACAAGATTACATCTTCTAAGGTCACTTTCAGCTCTAGAACGCTTTGATTCCTCCAGTCACCCAGGCCCAGAATATTGGACCTAACTTCATTTCATCCCTGTCACTCACCCTGATTGTTCTAGATTCTCCTCCCATCCAACATCCCCCTCTATTCCACCAGTCCTTTTTCATCATGTGACTCTGTCGCTCTGAAATCTGTGCCTCCAGACTTGGTTGGCCCTTAGAACAGAATCCTTGGTCTTTTGCTGGTGGTGTGGCACTTCCAGTCCACTGCCTGGCCCTCCTTACCTCTTCAGACTTCTCTCCGCCCACTTCACCCATGACCTCAGAACTCTATTCCAGTGGGGCTCTGAATCCACTCCTGCCCACCCCTTGCTCATGCCATTGTTCCTGGACAACTCACAGCAAAAGCTGCCCACCTTCCATGTCTTACCAGCACTTCAAAGTCTATCACAGAGCCCATTTTCTCCAGGAAGCCCTCCAACTCTGCTAAGCTCTCCTTCTAAATCCCAATAGTCCTTTTGATTCATAATTCTTCTGCATGTAGCTGTATTAGTTTCATTATTTAAAAAGTCTGTGCTTGCTTGTCTTTTGCTTAACCAAGATGCTACTTTTTTCAGAGGTAGGGGCCCATGTGTTGTACTTGGTCCATCTGCCTTACGTTGTCCAACACAGTGGGTGCCCTAGAAATTATGTCTGTTACATTTAATTATCAGAGACATGTCGTACTTCAGC